ACATATCTTCTGACCACCCAACTCAAGAACTGGACATAAAGTCGGGGAAGAAAGCGGCCCATCGTCAATCCTCAACAACCTCATCCAAACACGGATACAATTGACTATGTGATCATATAAACCATCAACAGATAAGATATGGTTACGGATATGATTTTGTAGTGAAATATCTGGATTCATATCTGAAATATCCAAATACATATTAGTCATACTGTTACAATAATTTTAATTCTTAGATTATGGATTTGATGTTAATCTTGATGATCAAGATGTCTGATCTTAGCTTTTCAGATATAATGAACATATTAATGTATTCTTTTGTATCACATGAACTGTATTTTTTTCAATGTTATCTAGTTTTCTCATATCTATTTTACATCCGCATGAACACTCACTTACATATCCGCATGTATATCTGTAACTGTATCCGCATCCAATTTTTATGGATATAAATATAAATTTTTCTTACAGCGGATATTAATATAATAAGTATCATATCTGAACCATATCCGGACTAAATGCACCCCTACTCTCAATGCATTCTGGAGGGAGTAGAAAAGCTTCCCAGTGGAGGAAAATTGTTATTTGGGTGTTATTATCACAATAAGCATATGTGAGTTTACTGGTTTTGTGCATGATTACTTTTATATTTGAAAATTATTTCTTACCAAAGATGGAGAGATTAAAATAGGTGTAGCTTATATATTATAAAGAAAACCGTTTTATCCGATTACTTGAAAACATCCTCTCTTTCTTTCTTTCTTTTTTTTTAAAGCAGACATGATCCTGGCTATAATCTTCGAAACAATTTGTTGAAAATCTCAGGTACTACTGAATAACTTGCAAATCCTCCGTGAACTACAAAGGAATTATTTGCAATTTACTCAATAATAGCTTGACAAGGTTTGGTCTTGATGGAATTATCATCCAGTGAAAACTCACAGGCTACTATTTCTTTATGCAATCAGAAGAGCCTGACGACTGCGTTGATCAAAAATTGCCTTTGAGCTTTCAACAAACATAAAAAAATGACCCTCCCCCCCCGCGCATCAAAAATCCAAATACAAACATGAAGAGCCCTCAAATCTCCCCCCAGGTCTCAAGAGACTTCAAACTCAAACACCCATTTCAGTACTATTTTCAAAGCAGCTTAACTCCAGCATCCCTGACGGAATCAATGACAGCCTTCACCTTCCCATGCATACTTCTGCTCCCTCTTCAAGACACCGACACCGCAGGATCCCGCCATCAGCAGCCGCTCGCCAAGATCTTCCCAATTTGCGGCTGCCCCACGTCGTCGGGACTCATGGTGGCCTTACAGGCTTCTCCTGCGAGCTCGCTGATGATGCAACGGTCGCTGTTGGGGTGTGGACGACCTGAGCGCTGACAAACTTGTCTGAGAAGTGCATCTTTAGGATGTAGGGCTTCAGGTAGTTGGTGACTCTGGCTGGCCGCACTGGTGGTCGAATCGCCATTGCTGCTTCTTCTCCCGCTTCCAACTACTGCTCGAAACCTGATCGTATTGTTTAAAGTTGATCATGAGGTTGAGAGGTAGAAAACAAATCACAATGCAACAATCCGATAACACGATAACAAATCTGACATGCATATACATAGTAAAAGGTTATTGATTATGATCTGACAGCTTATTTCGTTAATGAGACGTCAAATAGTGAAGGATCGTGAGAAACACCTTCGAATGTGACCAACAGAGAGAACCTCAGCCTCACTGGTAATAGATCACCTCACTTCCAGAAAATAATCAATCTAGATGATCACCAAAATTTTCTAACTGATGAAGTTTATTTCATCATATTAAATAGAAACTATCAACACGAAAAATCAACTTACGAAGATGACAGCAGTGAATCATGGATTAATCTATCATAATTACAATGTTGCCAAATGAAATTTGTTAATAAAAAGTGTTTGGGAAAGGATTTGGGGAAGGAACAACAGTTCAGCAAATTGATATCTAAGATCACCCAATCCATCAGAAAATATAAAAGCAGACATGGCATGTAAGGACCCAAATTCAAATTTGACTCCGATAAACTAATTTGAAATTTGAGCTTAAGTAGGCCCCACCAATATCCAACAAACTTTTAGCCTCAAGGTACGGGTATGCGACATATCCAAAGAAAAAACTTCATACAAGTAAACAATTTTCCATATTTTCTATAATAGACTCCGAAGTTGCAAACATTTCAAATCACATTTTAGAAAGCTTGTATCCACGTCAGTTTGATGCCCCCCTTTATGTTTCCTTGACAAGTTTATAGACGCTTCACTTGACAGGTTCTCATAATATCTTAATTCATCAAGCATGAAATTCAATGACTTTCTTCAATTGGATAAGAATATTAACAAAGAAAATGAGAAGTCCTGCAGTGGTTGAGGTCCTCATGTGGTACTATAATTATTAATTAGGGGTCTTGATCGTTCCATAATGTGGTTTCAACAGTTCTCCATACTTGGGTTTTATGATACTGAGAAATCCTATTGGTTAATACATCGAAATGCCGTCTTAAAACACAAATACAGACACAGACACAAGGAGCTGAGCTTGACAGTCCAACATGAAATAAAAGGTGCAAATAGCTATCCCTGTCTTGGGTTATTTACGATGTTTAGAAATCTTATGTTTCAGAGATATAAATATTTGTTTTACAGCACAGACAAGAAGGGGCATGATAATTCCATATTGTGGTGCAAGTAATTTCCTCATCAATTTTTTTCTGGTGCGGTGAAATCTTACGGTTCACAGATATCACTGTTGTTTTACACACAGAGACAGTGTTGTAAATCACATTTTCTCCCAAATCCAGTAAGGATATATAAAATGTTTGCCTATTTATTTGACATGCATTCTACTTTCAGTCTTTGCTCACAGACGAAAGTAGAAGGAAAAAAGGTTGCAACGCAATTAGCTACTGTAATCTATGAACAAGAAGACAGAATTCAGATTTGGGGATACTTTTCACGAGAAAGAAAGAGGGGTTGTCATGTCGGAAATGCATTGATGAGCCAAATTTCAATGAGACGCCTTACGTATTATACGTTAAAACCCTGATCTCAGTGGATATATCCGTGTCGCCTCAACCTTGTCATTAACAGAGAATGCAGTTCAAAACCAAGGGAAATAATCGCTGAACAAGCATAGCAGATAATGATGATCCTCAGCCATCAAGAAGAACAGTTACTACTAGGAAAAATGATCCTCAAATTTCAATATTCTTCAACTCCTACATCTCTGAGCTTCATATTTACCTCGCGTGCTGATCGAAGTTAATGAAAAAAAATGAAACTTAACTATTCTACCCAAAATATCAACGGCCACAATAACAATTAAAAATATCAATTATATCTATGCTTAAATGGGCTTAATTTCTCTAAAATTGTATTCTTCTACTTCGGAAAAAAATTTGATCTTTGAGAGACATCTTTTCAGCCACTCAAATAATCTAATCGCATTAACAGCAAAAAAAATGCGCATAATAATAATTCCTAGAGAAACGAAAACCCTAATTCCAACATATTCAACAATCTAAAGGTTATTATAATGAAATATTACCACAAATACAGATTCTTAGTAGAGGAATTACCGTCGTAGAATCAACCGGTGACCGGAGATGATCTTCGTCGGCGTCGGCGGCGGCGTCGGCGGAGGAATTACCGTCGTAGAATCAACCGGTGACCGGAGATGATCTTCGTCGGCGTCGGCGGCTCGGCGGCGGCCGGCTTAATATAAAGAGAAACGAATGGGTTTTGTTTGGGGATTGGAGTTGTCAATTTCAGTATTGGATTCGGGTACGGTTCGTGTGGGTCGGGTTGAGTTCACACCCCAAACTAATCCGACCCGTATTATTCACATAAATAGGTGCAAACCCTTAAAAAATAAAAAATAAATGAAAAATCATATATAAAGGACTCTATGCTAACTTCCTATAGGGAGGGAGGAAAGGGAGAAGGACATTTGTCATGTTAGTATAATCAGTAACAGTAATATTACATACATATAGAGGATAATAGTGACTGCATTGATAGACATTAGTGATATGTGCATCAAGATTTGTGATGTGTCAAGTGTCGCATTCTCTTTTTTTTTGCGTACTGTATTCTATAACGGGTCTTCATATGATATACATAAATTATACTAGCACATTTATTTATACATATCTACTAACTTCTACATTGAGAGATATATCTCAATCTAATATCAATAATCTCAATGAGGATTATAGGCAAGTCATCCTCGGCTACAAAAGATAAGCTCTTATCTTCATGTAAGGCCTCTCTTCCACTCCATTGTTTGCTCTAGTGTTGTGGCTTGCTCTTTGCTTCAAATTCAACTATTTATAGTTACATATGCCAATCTTAAAAACCCAAGCTTAACTATATCCATATTCCCCATCAATAATTATTAATTTCGACCCTCTTCCATGAGGAATATGCTCATCAGACTATTTATAGTTACATATATTCTCTCAAAAAAAAAATTTATAGTTACATATGCCAATCTTAAAAACCCAAGCTTAACTATATCCATATTCCCCATCAATAATTATTAATTTCGACCCTCTTCCATGAGGAATATGCTCATCAGAGACCTCTTAATGCAGGTGCTAGAAATAGCGATAATATTATAGCTAATGGGGCAAAGAATCTAAATGTAAATCTAAGGGTCAGTTTGGCAACTCAAAAACTAACCCAATTTAGTTTTGAACGAGACAGGCTCGGTCTAGATTAGGCTAAACTAGTTAAATGTGAACTAGTTTTGAGATGGAACTAGTTTGGTTAACTTTAGACAAACCTGGTTCAAAACTATTTATTGTTTGATAAACACATATCTACAAAAATAAGGCCCCAATTTGATAATCAAATTATTTTTCTTTTTTTTTTTCTCTTTAGATTCCACACTAAACAGATTCTGTTTCAAACATAAACTAGGGCTAATCTATATGTATAATATCATAATTGAAATAACTGAAACCCACATCTCAATTAGAAGTTTCCATCGATTCATCAGAGAAAACAAACTTCAAATCAGAAGCCAAATATTCCAAATATCTCCAGAGCACAGGAGGCCAAAAGCTCACCCTCCCTGCTCAGTGAGTCCAAATAATATCTACTTGGAAAAGACTCAATTCAAAAAAAAAAAAAAGTTACATCGCTTGTGAATATACAGATCAAAAAGACTGTGCTAGTGGAAAGGTTAGTGAAAAGAATCGAGGTTAGTTCTTCCTGCATCAGAAGATGTATGTGAAAGAAGAATGTTCATTTTTTCTACTCCATTGAAGTGGTATAAACTGTATTATCTCCCTCTACGAAGAATCTACTATCTATGTAATCCTTCACTCTGTGTTTCGATTAGTCATATGGATCCATCTCTTCATCTTCAGGCGAAGGGCCAACAGATTCGAACTGCTTGGTCCCACTTTCTTCACTAGACTCGATTTCCTCGACGTCCTCACCTTGTGAATCACTGGCATTGAAGGAAACCGCGACGAGTTTTTTATCCATCCATTGAGGGCATTTGTCCTCTTTCCCATATATAAGATTCCCACCAGTGTCTTTTAATAGATTCAGAATAGGAGATGAAGTCGTCGTGCATGAACATTCTGGCAATGGGTGAGAAAGAAATGATGAAGGTTTTGATTGCAGAGCTGCTGCTTTGAGACCATCCACGCTCAGGCTTCGGTTAAGATGATCCCTTACTGCTACTGTCCAATTGTGCGATGGATGATAGAGGTTGTCGCGGATGGTATCAAAGAATTCAGAAATGGCTTTTCTGTCGAAGGAACATGGAAAAAGAATGTCATTACAAGACTAAACATAAAGCATTTTTAAGCATCAACATAAACTGCTCCAGGAACTTAGATGTAATTATGGTAAGGTGCTTCCTAACGATGAGAAAGATTGCAGGTTCAAGTAGTTGATGGACTTTATAAAGGAACTTTCTCCCTTGTCTAGGAGATGGTGGGAGTCATTCAACTTGTTCATTTATTTATGCGCTACTTAGAATGCAAGAAGTAAAACAAAACAGAGGACTAAAATATATGCTGTCTAATAAAGAAAGGTTGTCCTCGCAAGAAAACAAACATAATGTATTCTATATTTTTAGAAATAACATAGAATTTTCGATCTTCTTATATGTTCTACCATTGCGTTGTTTGATCACACACGCAACACGAATAAAAAAAGATATGATATCTAAGTCTTAAAAGTTTAATCTTCTCTGAAATATAAATGCAATTAAATCATAATATCAATTCATGAGCTTTGTATTTCATGAAACTTTTACCTTGCAGTTGAAACTTGCAAGGGCATAATCGGACTTTTATGTAACTTGCTCTATCGGCTGCTTTGGTCCTATGGTGGAAGTATCACCTACTTCTTTTTTCCATTCCACATTTTGGATGGACTCTTCCACCTCATTATGTAAAAGACATTTTACAATTATAAGACAAGTTAGTTTATCTACAAGTATTTTGAATTATACAATCCACTTCCAAAAATTTTCATGTATCACTTATATAATACTTCTATTTTGTTTCATATCAATTACATGGACCTCTTGATATCAAGTAACTTAATAGCACCAAAGTGATGTTTACATAACTAGAGGCATCAAGCGTTACCTAACTCTATGGTGCCAATTTCATGAATTTCTTTGGCTACTCACTTATATTATCAGTCTGAGGTAACAGTTAAATAAATAGATACCAAATGAGGATTCATTCCGCATTTTGAGCATATATTATAGTATATTGTCAACTACAAATCAGTACTCTACCATTTTGCATCCACGTTCGGATTTGAATTGTGGTTGTCCATTGGGATAACCGGATAAGAAATATTGATACCAGCAGATCCAGAGAAAATAATACGCTATTATCTAGAAAGAAGGTCAAAATCAAAGGCACAACTAGAATTAGCCAATCATCAAATCTGATCTATAAAAATTTTAAACAGTGCTTCTAAAGGTAGTATTCATTTTTTTTTCCTTCTTCTGGGATATTGCCATGTAAGATGCAAAATATGCAACTATTGCAGTTGATTAATAATGCCATATGAAATGCCTCCGAAGAAAGCATAGGGAACCAAATAGAGTATAAAAAGATTACGAGTGGAACTCACCTATCAGGACGATAAGTTCTTCTAGAAGCCTCTTGGTACACACGATGACCCATGACCAAGCTCGAAAAATCTGGCCACCCACTTCCATCACTGTGAAATCCAGGAAAAAATGCATCCGCTTCAACAGAAACATAATAATCAAGAGCATCCCATAGCAGCCAATGTGCTTGCATTCTCAGATCAGCCGGTGAAGGATCTGGCTCTTTGTCTGTTTCCAACAGCCAGCCATACCAACCTTGATGCTCATAAGCATAAAAAGGCCTTGCAGGAGGCGGAGGAAGGGGCCTCGGCCTGGGCCCAGCTCTATTCCATTCTTCCAGCAGCTGATCTCTACTTTTAGCTGCTGGAGATTGAGGAGTACTCACAGGAAGAGGATATTCTGGTCCGACCAAGTCAGACAATTCCTTCTTACTGGTTAAAGAATACCGATCTACCAAATTTGTGTACATGGCACGCAAGGGAATGAGGACTCTTTGCCCACCAAATAACTCAGAACCAGCCAGGTATATTATTGTGTTCTGAGGATATCCCATCGCCCTAAGGAGAAGTCCTACCTGAGATACCAAGAATAAATGTTAATTTAGAAATAAAATATCCTAACAGAGGCATCTTAGTTTTTCTTATTTCTCTTTTCTTGTTAACAAAGAAAGATTTTTTTAAACAACCCGAACAGAGATTCCACGACAAGAGGGTGTGAATTATTTAGCATTCACACCCATTAGAGCCTGTTTGGCAACAGGAGGGATACTTGACCCAAATTCTACCCACTTTGTAGCACCATACTATTCCAAATGGGCATAATTTCTATTTTAATTTTCTATCTAAACAAGATTCTATGTCACGAGGCGGAGACAAACCTGGAGACATCTGATAAAATTAGAGCCTTTTGATATTTTTACTCTTATTGTTTCATTTTACCTTGTAACTCCTCTCACTCTCCGAATTCCATCCTCCTCCTCAAACCTAACTACCAAACATATTAAGTGCAGGAAGAAAAGTTGGTATTCCATGTCAGCATCTCACCATAATTTCTAGGAGTGGGCTTCAGCTACAGATGTTTTGGCTATGAAAAAATATTTTCTTGATAGAAGTCGCTACTTCCCAATATCTTGTTTGAAACCCATACGCCAAACATCCCCTTAAGTTGACACTCATTACAAACTTCACGAGGAACTCTTTTAGCAGAACATAAGGGTTTCAAAATACAGGAACTGACCAAGCAAAGTTAAAGAATATATTTAGTTTAAAATAAATGACTCTATATTATATTACTGAAAGAATATTCATAATAAGTATTGGAACGTTACTATCGTCACATGACAACATCGTTTACTCTATCGAAGACTTCAAAATAGTTCAACATTATGAAGATGTATGAGCTACTCACTTCTTCAGGCATGAGAGGACATGAGCCATTTCTTTTCCGTGCCACTGAGTCAATGTTCAGTTCTTCATGAACAATATGGCGTTTGATCATCTGTTTCCTTCTATATTGTATTAGTTCAGTATGGAGATCCTAATAAACGAGGAGGAACACATCAATGAGAATTATTATAAGGTAATGACAAGGAAAAAAAGGCATGACAGAGGCATTGAATCCAAGTTTAATTATTAACCTGAAAAAGTTCTGCACAACCATGAAATGCCAAGGTATCTCTTAGAAGACCAGGATGTTAATTATTAACCTGAAAAAGTTCTGCACAACCATGAAATGCCAAGGTATCTCTTAGAAGACCAGGATGATATGCAAGATAAGGACGACCATATGCACGCAATCTGAAATTTTGAAAAAGCGAGATCAGTAACCTGACATCTGTATCTGTATATATATATGAGAAAAAAGGGAGAGTAACACTGAAGCCAAGAGCAACAATATGTTGAAACATGTAAGACATGAAAACTAGCAGTTAAATGCCATATGATGAAGACCAAACAGATGGAACGCTTAAATGATGTATGATGAGTAAGAATATAGATAGTACACAACCATAAATTCAGCATTATGGAAAAGGTTTAATAGTCAGCAAAATTTAAAGTTCAGGAGGCAGAGCATGACATGTCTGAATGTACCTGGCTACCATGTGATTTCCAAGGATTTGAATTTCTTGGCGTAACTGAAGGGCATGAAAAGCAACCCTGCATCTAAGTCGTTGATACTCAACCATGCTGGATGGAAGGACTGACTACAACAATAATGAAAAAAGAATCAGAAAGTTCTGCAGAAAATTCTAAGCCTCATTTAGATGCATATAACATTAACATGCTTCTTCGAGTGAAGTGTAAAGATGTAAATCAAAGTCGATTAGATCATAAGCTTGTGAGACCATACAATTACAGTTTACTGCTTGCATTTTCCAATCATGGTGTGGTAGCAATCGCTGGCCAAAAGAAACTTTAAAGCATACATCAAATGTAAAAATAATAATAAACGGATGCTCTAGAAACCACTCGGAAGATTAAATTTTCTTTTAGTTTCATCTTCATTTGTTTCGTTGACTGACATCAGAAGTTGAGACAATCTAGTATCAAAATCCAAAGAGAGATTTATTCTCCACCTTTTCAGCAGCTTTATAGTTCTGGGAACTCCACAAGTAACACCACGTCCTGCCTCCAAATGTCAACCACTAGTTCCTACGGCCTAATGTTTAAAATACATGTGAGATGGGAAACTTTTCATGATAAGTGCTAGTGTCCATGTGGCTTCCATGACAGGGAGACATAGCTACCAACCAGCAGAGACAAAGGCATGAAGCAGCCAACAAAGATGGTAATCAAGCAGCGTAAGTTTAGATATAGATAATAATCCAGTTCAACCCCAGATTCACTAACCTTCTGTTCTCCGTCTGAATGGCTTACACCAATCATCTCTTAAAATAATTATAGAAGGGTATAATTTAAGAGTAATTTCTTTGAATTTTTTACCAAGCACGTATTAAAGAGATATCAGAGACATTGTTATATGAGGTTTATTCCAGCCTATAAAGGTTGTCAAAGCAAAAACTGGAAGTATGAGACCAATTCAGTTTTCTTTGACTTGTCAAGAATTCAGGCTACCAGATGCAGAAGGGGCCTCTTATGTAGGTCCTAAATTACTCAATAGGGAACTGCACTTTGTTAGCGCTCCAATGTGTGACTAACAATAAACATTGTTATGCAAAGATATACAGACGGGAAGGAGATTTTATAACTATGTAATACATGCATTTAACTCGCCTAATTGTAAAACTTAATACTGAACATAATCATGAGAAGATAGGTGATGTAGTTAGGAAGAGTGACATTTGGTCCTTTAACATGAATCATAATTTAGTATTTACAAAGTTAACCAAGTCTATATCATATGTGTCTTTTGCTATTCAGCAATATCTACCGGTGTAACAATATAGTATATTCTTTCAGCTGCAATCTTTTCCTTTTTAATTTTCAGTTTGCACAGAACATCAAAAGAGCAAACATAAAATTAATAATTTAAATATCAACAGAAAACCTCTAAAGCATATATATGGAATATGATTATTTGTAAATTTAATGGAAGCGGCAAGTTTAGGTAAATGAGTACATAAGAACTCTTTGATAGACTAAGAGTTGATGTTTTGAACAGAAAACTTATCAAT